ACACAGCCCCCCAACACTTCCCGTGCAGCCCCCATCTTCCCCACACAGCCCCCCAACACTTCCCTGCAGCCCCCCATCTTCCCCACACAGCCCCCCAACAGTTCCCGTGCAGACCCCCATCTTCCCCACACAGCCCCCCAACACTTCCCGTGCAGCCCCCCATCTTCCCCACACAGCCCCCAGCAGTTCCCGTGCAGCCCCCCATCTTCCCCACACAGCCCCCCAACACTTCCCGTGCAGCCCCCCATCTTCCCCACACAGCCCCCCAACACTTCCCGTGCAGCCCCCCATCTTCCCCACACAGCCCCCAGCAGTTCCCGAGCAGCCCCCAATCTTCCCCACACAGCCCCCATTTCCCATACAGCCCCCATCTTCCCCACACAGCCCCCCATCTTCCCCACACAGCCCCCCATTTCCCATACAGCCGCCCAACACTTCCCGTACACCCCCCCATCTTCCCCACACAGCCCCCAGCAGTTCCCGTGCAGCCCCCCATCTTCCCCGCACAGCCCCCCATTTCCCATACAGCCCCCCAACAGTTCCCGTACACCCCCATCTTCCCCACACAGCCCCCCAACAGTTCCCGTGCAGCCCCCCATCTTCCCCACACAGCCCCCAGCAGTTCCCGTGCAGCCCCCCATCTTCCCCACACAGCCCCCCATTTCCCATACAGCCCCCCAACAGTTCCCGTGCAGCCCCCATCTTCCCCCACAGCCCCCCAACAGTTCCCGTGCAGCCCCCCATCTTCCCCACACAGCCCCCATTTCCCATACAGCCCCCCAACAGTTCCCGTACAGCCCCAGCAGTTCCCGTGCAGCCCCCCATCTTCCCCACACAGCCCCCATTTCCCATACAGCCCCCCAACACTTCCCGTGCAGCCCCAAATCTTCCCCATACAGCCCCCCATTTCCCATACAGCCCCCCAACAGTTTCTGTGCAGCCCCCACTCTTATAGCCCCCCAACAGTTCCCGTGCAGACCCCAATCTTCCCCATACAGCCCCCCATTTCCCATACAGCCCCCCAACAGTTCCTGTGCAGCCCCCACTCTTATAGCCCCCCAACAGTTCCCATGCAGACCCCAATCTTCCCCATACAGCCCCCCCCCCATTACCATAGTCATTCATTTTTGTAGCAGGGGGGCTGGAACAATTTTTATAGTGGGGTGCTGAGAGCCATTGAACCAAACTGTAAACCCTGTGTATGATAGAAACCATTTCAAGCCAGGGGGGTGCAGCAGCCGCCCACCTCAAGCACCCCTAATTCCAGCACCTGTGCTTTGTACTGTTTCAAAGTATCTGTGTCATCTGGAAAGCTTGTCTCTCTCCCCAGCAGAAGCTGGTCCAATAAAATATATTCCCTCTCCCCTCATCTTTCTAATATCGCGGGACTGACCCGGTTACAACAACACTGCCTGCAAAAAGAACAGGAGGACTTGTGGCACCTTAGAGACTAACACATTTATTTGAGCACAAGCTGTCATGGGCTACAGCTCACTGCATCGGATGCATGCAGAATCCCTTGTCAGCGTGCATGTCTGCATGAAGCCTATAGCAAGTCGCTGAGACTTAGGAGCGATTCTGGCTGCCTGACTGGGCCTGTTTTTTTGTTTTTTGTGGTATGCCACTGTAACTGCATTTCACACCTTTACGTTGTTTACTTTTACACTATTTTTATTCCTTTTAGCACTTTGTCATTGACCCGTGTTAACACTGTGCAGCTGGATGGCGGTGTGCTGTTTCATGTCTAGTTTAATAGTCTGTAATTATTGAAAATACATACAGTTGCTGGGAACGTCAAGAGACACGTTAGGACCCCCCACACACACACACTGCACACCAGCCTTTGCTGTCACTCCTAGTGTAACACTTCCTGGTTGCACTGTACTATCACAACTTAGTTTTCCAGTGGTCAGTGGTTGCTCTCTGTTATGAAAAAAAGAAACCTGTTTATTCTGTGGGCTCACAGGAATTAAAGATTGAATGTAACTAGGTAGTTTTGAAATCCCACTAGCTGCCTAAATTAATACCTTTAACAAAACTGGCCTTAAGGGCACAAAGTCATACTGTAATTTTTTGCTAAATACAGATATTCAACCCAAGATAGACTGACAAGGACAAGCATTCAAAAATCATTAGTTATTCACCCAAAAGTCATTACATTAAAAAAATTTTTTTTTTAATTTGCTATGTTAGTTTCTGAGCTTTTAGGGTTCAGCCCTCTCAAAGAATCCTATACCTAAAATGCTTGTACATTCCTGTAGCATTCAGTTTGATCTTTTGGTAACATGTGATTTCCCCCCTCCCCTACTCCCTTCTGTAATTGAAAATGTATTAAATCTCCTTATTTCTGTAAGTCATCCCCCATCCTGCAAACACTGAAGTGTACAGTTCAGGCTCCCACTAACATCTCAGTCCCCATGGGCCTGGATGGGGACTGAACTGAGCTCCCTGGGGTCCCTGATTCAGGGCAGTGTAACACAACAGTAAATAGGGAATGGGTGGAAAGTTTTTGGACAACAGTGTCTGAAGGCATCATGCTGTTCATGGGCACTTAGGAGACCTTGCTCTTCAGAGAGGCTATTGACGAGATCTGACACAGGTTAATGGCCTATTCTCCACTTCCAATCCTCCACTTGGGCCCTGGCTTGTCCAGCTCTGTCCGCTCGGTTTCCCCCCATCCTGAAAAACCTACCCTTAACCTTGCTTGTCTCTCCACCTACCCCACTGTCTCCCTCCACCCTCTGGCCGCATAGAGGACTGGCCATTGCCTTCCTCCCCTCTATTTACCCTTGGACCCAGCCAATGAGGTCTCCACCGGAACTGCTCTTCCCAAAATCTCCAGAGACTTGTCTAAATCTCAGAGCCTTCACTTTGTCCTCATCCACCTTGACTTCTCCACTACCCTTGATTGCTCTCTACGATTCTATTTACCCCTTGATTTCATACCCTCTTTCCTGGTTTTCATCTTACCTTTGTGACCAGTCCTCATGTGCTTTTTGTCCACTCCTCTTCTAGAGGTTCCTCAGGGCTCTAAATAGCATCCAGCCCGTCTAGCTACCCAGTGAGCGGTGTCTTGCATTCCTCACTGTAGTGTGCAAGCACATCCAAATAGCAATCTTCCCAATGAACAAAATAATTCTACACACCCAGTTAGAAACAGAAGACCTAACATCTAGCACATGTACATAATGTAACGCTAACTTTCACACACGAGGTCTGAGCCATGGTCTTTACGTGAGAGTAGCAATTGTCGTATCTGTTGGCATGCTGAGAAAGTGTGTGTGTAATCACTGTGCCACAAGCCACGCTCAGGAATTTGTTTTAGTTCTCCACCCAGAGAACGGTAGGGTGGTATGGTAGAGAGTGCTATATTAAGTTACCGTACGCTTTCCATTACCATTCTTGAGACTGCTTTTTGAAGACCTCTAGTTCCTCCACGATATGCGGCAGGACTCCATAGTTCAGCAAGAGGGACATACTGGGGTCAGGGAAAAGCCTTTTGCCGGCCCCATGTAACTCAGTTCAGATCTGGCAATTAGGAGCAGCTGGAAATTCTCATTTCCCATCTGTGGTTTGCTGACTGCAGCCTGCTGTCAAAAACCCTGAACATTCAATGAGTACTTCACAAGCACCAGCCCACACGGCTCTTTTCCAGTCAGGACACAGACAAAATGGCTCCTCAGCCACTTAGCTACCCGTGGGGTTCAGGAACAGTGCACCAGACGGGGGACTACGGTTTCACAGCTCATGTCTTCTGACTGCATCGGTAATTATTTATTCCTGAACTTTCCTACTCAGTGGTCTTGGCCTAGCGTAAACCTGAGGTAACGTCTGTGTCTCGTAGCCCTCACACTTGGCCACGGTGGGAACAGACCCCAGGTGATTAATATGGGCGAGACAACCACTTAGCTGTGGCAGCATCTTTCTGAGAGGTAGTGTGGCTACAGACCCAGCTTCGCTGTCTTTAAAACAAGGCTCCTCCTGCCGCTGTACCTCGCTGTTTCAGCGTGCTAGACGCTCCCCCGTGGCTGGGCCACCGAGAGTAACAGCCGACACGCGCCGGCAGCTACTACACCTAATCTTTCACTCACGTGGGCAGGGGCTCTGCTGCCACACTGAAGGGCCTGGGTTTAATAAGGATCATGGTGGGGTGAGGGCGTTAGAGTTTCTTTTAAAAGACCCTTGGAAATTATATACAAAAAACTGCTCCGTTCAGAATGTGGAGCAAAGGCCAGCACTCAAAAGTCAGGAAATGCCAAATTTACAACTCTGCCCTGCAGTGATCTCATGGCAGGAAAAAAACCCTACTGTCACCATAAAAATCAGTTTAGTCTAACCTGGAACCTCAGTCACGAAAAAGCTTAGTCACAATGGCAGTTATTGAATGGCCTGACTTGGGGGCAGAGTCCAGGTTGTTTGGGTGCCTTCCCAGAGCATTACAAGTTAGGATTTCTTTCAACTGCAGCCTCATCTCTGAGTTTCCTGGGTGCATGGTGCTTGGGTTAGTATGAATTACAACCTCCCGGTTTACTCTTACGTTACTAATACGCCCAGCCTTCACTCCATTTCAAGGAGGTTGTGTGTCTTGGAACGTCCTCGCTTTGTTATTAAAAATTCCACACACAAGCCCTACCCAAGAAACCCCAAGAGCATGCTCCCAAGGGACACAGAGCAGACCTTCAAATCATTGGCAACCAACCCTAAACCTTTTTCCCCCCCAGATGTTCACTTGTCAGGTCAGGTGCAGCAGAACACGTGGAAGAGGCTGGCATTGAATCTGTGGTTGGCTGATTGGCTTTCAGAGGGCTGTGTTAGCGAGTCAGCCTTTGCCATCTGGCCTGGGCACCCACTTTGTTTCTTTAACTTATAATCAAGCCATTTCTGCTTGTGTGAAGTCACTTACAACTGGGAACGACATACACCATGCATGTCTCAGCCCCTCCCCTGGGTTGTTCTCCTTTAAGCACCCAGTGCCTAGAAGCAGACTCACGACCACCCAATCTGTGCACAAATGATACATTTATTGAAAGAGTATTTTTTAATACAAAAGAAAGCTCTGTACATAGTACTGTGATTACTTCCACATCCTTCCAGAAACACAACCCTGGAAACGTTTAAAAAAAACAAAAACAAAACAAAACCCCACAACCACCACACACACGGACGCACGCACACAACCAAGCACACGCTTGCACACACAAACCCCAAAACAATCAATAAAAGGAACTAAAAAGGTCACCACACAATAAATGCCATTTCATCCCTGATACACAAGTGTTCTGACAAGTCCGCACTTTAAATAAAATGCAACATTAGCGTTTAACCTGCATTTCCTTTGGAGGGCAGGGGGAGCATTTCCTGACCTTGCACGGGGGCTTTAATCCAACTCATTCCAGCTCTGGCCAGGGGGTCAGTTTCACAGCACCAGCCCGAGAAAAACAGGGGGGAAAGGCCAGACAACAGCTCCAGACTCCCTCCCTGCCCTGGGCTGACTCCTGGTTAGCAACACCAGGGGGAAGTTGCTGCCTGGAAAAGTGGCCCTGTACCACAGAGAGACCTGGGCATATCGTCCTAAACCATGGCTGGGCTCTGCGTCCTCCCCCCCCCACCCCCCGTTACACGGCCCCACAATGGGTCAGGCGCTGCTTGGAACCAGGAGCTGCGCAGACAGAGGGGAGTGGAGAGCCTGGCTCGGAGGAAAGGCTCCGGGGAGCTCCCCAGCGCTAAGAGGAATGACTGGTCCTAGCATGTCCACACTCCCCAGGGGACCTGCCCTGCTCACCAGGGAACAGCACGAGGAGAGAGCTAGCGAGAGGCCGACCCCACTCCTCAAAGCGGCAGGCGAGAGGGAGAGAGAGCCATATCTGCCAGTGTTACCGGGAGGGGTGCCAGGGGCAGAGAACGGCCCCCGGGGGCACAGGAGAGCCAGCAGCCTGAAACTCTGACGTCTCGCCCACCCAGGCCTGGGTGCTGGCCTCTTGCCCAGCTCAGGGAGAATTAAGGCTTCACAGGGACATTGGAAACTTCTCCCAAAGCGGTCTCAAAACACATTGCTGGAGGCACTTGTTTCCCAGACTGACAGCAGCTTTAGGGAATGGGGTGCCAAGGGCAGACAGCCCCTTAGGCCCTGTCCCCTCCTCAGCTCTGAGGGCACCGTTCCAATTCCAGCTGTGCAGCGAGGCATACCCCAGCCGACACCAGACAGGGCCCTCAAGGGCTGGGGCGCCTCACACCAGCCTCTCCCCTTTTCCCCCACTGGGGTGTGAACTCTCTGCCCCATCCTCCCCCACCCCCCTGCACCCATCTCAGCAGGAGCCAGCCCGGCAGCCCCTCCCTGCTCCCTGGGGGCCAGAGGCTAGACTGTTGCCCACCACGCAGGCCACGCCAGGGCAGTAGCGCGGCCAGACTGGTACAAAGGACGCAGGCGCGCTCAGAACCGGCAGGAATGGCTGAGCTGGCCCCCATTCAACGCCTAGCACCTGTGGGCATGTCGGGGGGGGGGGGGGGCAGCTTAAACGCTAATGCTGGAGGAACCATGTCCAAGGTTACAATACATATTAAAAAGCAAGGCCCCTTCCTGTCCCTACCCCCCACCCCCACCGTGGTACAAACCCCATGAAAACTGTACAGGAGCTGGACTTTAATTCCTTGGAGAATTACATAAATACTGAGTTTAACACTTAGAAAAATAAAGTCTTTTTTTTTTCAAGGCTTCTTGTCTTTAATTTAAAAAAGTTACAGTAGCGGCTTCGTTCCCGAAGGAGTCAGCAGCCTCCTCTTGCCCCAAAGAGCCACTCACTGCAACCTACGTTCTCTGCTCCCCAGCAGGACAGGACGCTCCCTCCGAGCGAAGCCGCCCCCCTCCTGCGGCATCCACACCACCCAAGCACCTTCCTCTGGGGCACCCCATATCCCCTCCTGGAGGCCTGAAGGAATCCGCGCCGCCCCCTTTTTTGCCTCCTGGGCCAGGCTGTGCAGCAGCTCCAGGGCCCTGCAGTTTTTCCCTTTAACGTTTCAGTTGGTTTCTCCATCTCCCGTTGAAATGGTGCTTTGGAAAGCACTAACCACAGCAGGAACGGTGCCCGGCCACAGACAGCGCCCCCGGCCGAAGCCAGGCAGCACTGCGGTGCACAGACAGCAATCCTGCCAACACATCCCTGGGTCTTCCCAGCCCTGGCACCCGAAAGAGAGCACATGCTGGCCCCCGGCTGAGCCAGCAGAGATGATTTACGTCCACGGGCTGCAGGGCTTTCTGAGAAGGAAGGGCAGGGACTCACGCCCAGGTTACCTTGCTCCCAGGCAGCTCGCTAGTGTCCAGAGGGCACAAAAGCAACTGCCTTGGCCAGGTGGAACAAGAGACATTTATCATGGGAAATGCAAACCGCCATTTGCTTCCAGCTCGGTTCCTCCCAGCATCAACCCCAAGCAACCTCCGGCCCCACTCCTCGGGGACGGTGCTGGGACAGCGCCCCGGCCCCCGGGGACCCCCGCCAGGCCAAGGAGGCACTGCACGGGGCCGGTGGGGCTGTAGTGACTGAGCCAAGGGCTCACTTTCCTGTGTCCCCGCAGTGCCAGGGCTACACGCAAGGGCAGTATCTTGCCCACGGCCTGGCACTGTCACCGCTGGGGGGCTTTCTGCCACGCAGGCTGGGCCTGGGGCTGCCACCTGGGCCAGAGAAGGTCCTGGCCAGCCCACCCTGCCAGCAGGAGAGCAGCTGGGGAAGATGCTGATGCCCCTGCATCCCTCTTGGCAGGGGGAGCAGGCTCAGCCTGGGGCACCCCCTGGAGCAGCTTGCCGTCTGCAGGAGGGAGCCTGCTGCTGGGCCATGCTGAAGGCAAGCTGCCTGGACCTGCCCTACCCCTCCCTGGCACATGGGCAGAGGGGAGCGAGAACTGGACCTGGGAAGAGAGCTCCTTTGGTGGGGGCTGCTCCCGTCACGTCGCTGGGCCAGTGCCCAGCTTGGTGCTAATACTCCCGGCAAACAGCAGCTGGAGATGCCCGGTTGGACAGCAAGGAGCCGGGGCAGACAGCAGGCTGTTTATTGACATGGCGGGGCGAGCCCTCCCCTCGAGAGGCGAGTTTCTTTGGCTGGAGTGAGAAAAGCACAGGAAACGCAGCGTCCGAACGCAGCCCAGCCCCGGCTCAGTTCCACCCCGTGCCCTGTGTGTGCGTGCGTGTGTGTGTGTGAAGGAAACGTGAAAAGGCAACAATAAATAAGTGACGCAGTCCGTACGAGAGGGAATCGCTGCCGATCCTGGGGCCGGCGAGACGCTCCGCAGCCCACGGGCCAGAGACGGCACCCGGCGGGCAGCAGCTGCCGCAGTTCCCAGGCCGGGGCACCACAGGGCCTCTCAGTCACTCTTGGCGCTGTGTGACGTGTCCAAGTTCACCACCTGCAGCTCTGTCAAGTTACTGCTGCTGCTGCTGGACTGCTGGCCAATGACGGCCATCTGGAGAGAGAAGGGAGGAGAGCACCGGGGAGCGTCACGGGGCCTGCGGCTCTAGGGCCACCCCAGAATGCAGCCAGGGCCCTGGGGGACAGGCCAACCCGGAGAGCCAGCCTGCCAGCTCCACCCACTGCACAGGGGGCCAATGCCAGGCCTCCCCAGTCGGCAGAGCAATGCTTCGGGGCTGGGATGGGGAACCCTGGCTGCGAACAGCGGGGAGAAAGAGCAACTCCCCCACCCCTGCTGCCACCAAGCGGCCCAAGCTGCGGTCCTCTGCCTCCGCGGCCTGGCCAGTCTCCCCCACAGGCTGGGGGCGCTGCAGAGCAGAGGCTGACTGCGTTCAGAGCACCTGCCGTCCCAGGGTCAGAGCTCACCAGGCACAGTGCCTTCTCTCATGTCCTCCCTCCAGCAGGGCAGGGCTGGGACACCCCATTACCAGTGACCCCTGGGGATCCCTGCGGCCAAGGGGGAGGGGAAGCAGCCTGCACGCATCCGCAGGGCTGGTGTGGGGGAGAGGCCGGGTGGGAGGCGCGGGCGAGGTACCCACCGAACTGCTCTGTGCCTACCTGGTGAAGCTGGACGGCTGAGACCGGAATCTGAACGGTGCCCGATGGGGCCGTCAGGAACACCTGGGGGACAGCACCTGCCACACAGAGACAGCGCTTAGATCCTCCGCCCCAGGATGCCGTGGCAGGCTGGGCCACATGGAATACCAGCCGTCGAGCCTTTGAGAGGCGGTTCGGCCACGCGCACCGGCTGTGTCACCCCGCTCCACACCAGACCAAGTGGCCACAACACGCAGGCCAGCTCAGCGGGGCTTCCTGCTGCTCTCCATCGCCAAGGCAACACAAAGGAGCCAGTGTCCACCCCAAGTCGCCTGTGCCCCCCCATACTCTCTTCCCTCCTGTTTCTCACCTCCCCCTACGTGCACCCCCAAATCCCCTCTCCTTTCCTGTTCCCCATGTCACCTGCGAATCCTCCCTGAATCCCCTTCCCACCCCCAAATGCGCTCCCCAAAATCCCTCTCCCTCCTGCCCTCACATGCACCCCCCAAATGCTCCTCCTGTGCCACGGCATGCATCCCTCAAGTCTCCCTCCCCCTCCTGCCTGCCCCCCATGTTCTCCCCAAATCCCGCTCCTGCCCCCCGCGTTCCCACCCCCACCTCCCATCCTTGGTGAGCAGGTCTGGGGCAATGGGTCGGTTTTGACAAAGTCTCTTAGGGCTGAGGGTCAGTTTTTGCTGTTGCTCTGCCTGCCTGAACATTGCTCCTGCGGCAGAGGCTGAGGTAAAAAATCTTCACCCAACCCCACTCAACAGCTGCCCTCTTTCAAAATGGCTGCCCTCCCCAACCCTTCTCAATGGCCCTGGGGTCACAGGTGGCTCTTGGCACAACCAGGCCCCACTGCTAGGGAAGAGGGCGATCCCGCTGCTGCCAGCAGGCAGAGAGGAACAGGGCAATGGAGACAGGGGCCATGTTTGCTAAGGGCAGCCTGCCTCCCCGTGGGAGCAATGGGGAAGGTGGCCATTTTTAAAAAGGGCAGTTCTTGGTGTGTCTCTGCAGGGCACCCTTTGGTTGGGACGCATACAAGGAAACGGCCCATTCACCGTCCATGTGTCTCTGCAGGAAAAGCCTGTTGCCCAGCCCTGCCAAGCCGCACATAGCCAGACAATGCCCGCCTAGAGGATCATCCGGAGATGCTGCTTTATGGTCCTGCTTTTTAATTCATTTAAACCCAGAATCAAGTGACCGCATTTCCCAGAAAGTTCTCAGGAACGCCCCTCTGTGCCCCAGGGCGGGGGCTGGATGCACGGTTGGGGGGTGGGGGGCCATGCACAAGGGAAGCTGAGCGTACCACGGGGAGCAACCCTCTTACCCTGATCCTGGACCTGCCCATGGGAGACCTGCATCGCCGAGGATGCCTGGGAGAAGGCATTGAGGACGGTCAGCCCCCCGTCCGCCAGGCCTGAGGTGGGCGCATACATCACGGCGTGAGGGCTGGGGTACATCATGTGGCCTCCCACCGTGGTTGGCACAGACGAAGTCATGATCGTTGCTGGCAGCGTCACTGGCAGGAAAACAGAGCAAGCGCTAGTCAGCTGAACGGGAGAGGAGACCACGAACTGCAGCCCCCCCCACACTGTCCCCACAGGGCCCCCACACTGCACTGCACCCACAGTGTCCCTCCACAGCACTCCTTAGGCAGGACAAGCACTGCACCCCAGAGCCCCCACGTCCCCTGCCCCAGCAGGGCCTACCCCGCACCCCTGGAGTAGCTGGCCCATGAGGATTCATGCCCAGCTGTGAATTGCCTGCATTAGATTTCAGGGATTTCTAAAAGACTTCACAATCTGCTCCTGCTGTCACTCCGGAGCAGAGGGCAGGTTGGCTGGGTGCATCAGTCGGGCGTTCCCAGGCTGGGATTTCTTCTACGTGTGACCTTCGCTTGGTGTTTGCGGGTTTGGGGATCCTGGATTCCAGGGCCAGGAGGGCCTATTGGGATCACCTTGTCTGACCCCCTGGAAAGCACAGGCCAGAGACCGGCCCCAATCATTCCCGGAGCAGATCTTTTAGAAAAACACCCAAACTTGACTGAAGAATCACTAGTGCTGGGGAATCTAGCACGACCCTGGGTGAGTCGTTCACCTCATTTCCAGTCTGAATTTGTCTAGCTTCAACTTCCAGCCATCGGATCATGTTAGATCTTTGCCTGCTAGGCTGAAGAGCACTGTTAAATATTTGTTCCCCGTGAAGATTCTTGTAGATTATCATCAAGTCACCCCTTAACTTTCTCTTTAAGCTAAACAGATTGAGCTCCTTGAGTCTATCACTCTAAGGCAGGTTTTCTAATCCTTTAATCATTCTTGTGGCTCTTCTCTGACCCTCCCCAATTTATCAAATCCTTACTGAACTGTAGGCACCAGAACTGGACATCGGATTCCAGCAGTGGTCACACCAGTGCCAGACAGAGATAAAACAACCTCTCTGCTCCTACACAGGATTCCCCTCTACGCATCCCCGGCTCCCGTTTGCTCTTTTGGCCAGAGCGTCACTCAAGGAGTTCATGGTCAGCTGACTACCCACCCCCACATCTTTTTCAGAGTCACAGCTTCCCAGAATAGAGGCCCCTATCCTGGAAGTGTGGCCTGCATTCTTTATTCCCAGAGATATGCATTTAGAATTAGCTGTATTAAAACACATACAGTTTGCTGCCGCCCAGCTTACCAAGCGATCCAGATTATGCCGAATCAGTGACCTTCCTTTTCATTATTTACCCCTCCCCCAAGCTTTGTGTTATCTGCAGACTCTATCAGGACTGATTTTATGTTTTCTTCCAGGTCATGGATAAAAATGTTAAATAACCTAGGGCCAAGAACCAATCCCTGTGGGCCACACTGGAACCACACCCACTCGAGGAGTCCCTGTTTACAGTTATTTTTGTGACCTATCAGTTAGCCAGTTTTTAGTCCATGTCATGTATGCCATGTTCATTTTATATCATTCTCGGTTTTTTAATCAAAATGACATGTGATACCAAGTCAACCCCCTGACAGAAGTCTATGTACATTATGTCAACACGATTACATTTATCAGTCAAACTTGAAATCTTTTTTTTATATATATATATATATATATATATATATATATATATATATAAAGGTATCAAGTTAGTTTGACAGGATCTACTTTCCATAACCCATGCTGATGTGCACTAATCACATTACCCTCCTTTAGTTCTTTATTAATCATATCAGCTGCTCCATTATCTTGCTCGGAATAGACGTCAGGCTGACAGGCCTATAATTATCAGGGTCATCCCATTTACCCTTATTAAAAACTGGCACAACATTAACTTTCTTCCAGTCTTCTGCAAATTTCGCAGAGCTGCAAGACTTATTGGAAATTAACATTAATAGTCCAGCAAGCTTCTCTGCCAGCTCTTTTAAAACTCTTGAATGCAAGTTATCTGGACCTGCTGATTTCAAAATGTCTTGAGTTTAGTAGTTTTTTTATTTAATACCTCCAGAGATACCAGTGAAATGGAAAGTGTGTTATCCCTAAATGATGAGACTATATCATCTGTTTATTCCCCAAATACTGAACAAATATTTATTGAGCACTTCTGGCTTCTGTGTTATTTTTTGATAACTGTACCATTTCCATCTAGTAACGGACCAATACCATTATCAGGATTCCTTTTGTTTCTAATATATTTTAAAAACTCCTTCTTATTGTCCTTATCTCTGCTACAGATTTCTGCAGCCCTTTGCTTCCCTTAACAATTTTTTATAATTCCTAATTTACATACATTTCTATCAACTTCCCCTTTCTTCCACTTACTTTTCATATAAATAAAAATATACACGTGATGTTGCATTCCATATGTTTTATGGAAATATGCTGATGAGTGTAAATAGGATGTAACTGGAATATGCTTTATGCAAAAAGTCTCTTGTAAGGTATCATAACAAAGGTTATAACCTACTGACTATGTTCCTCCTACTTGTAAGCATGTATCATTCATGTATCTGAAGCTAGAAATATGAAATATAACTCTGAGATCCTATTGTAATTATGCAAAGTGTAGGCCATTAATGGTGGTTTAGAATCGTGATGGCTCCCACTGACTAGGACAATTGGTTGTAAATGGTTTATTTACCTGCAAACCTTCCTGTGTACCTGTGGGCCAGCCCATGGGGAATGGAGACTCGCTGTCTTAACGTGACATGTGACCATGGCACAGGATAATAGAATCCATCTTAAATCTGGTACTTTTCCATTTAGCAGGAGGGGTGGGGACCAGGAGAGACAAAAGATTCCTGCCTTGTGCCAAAGCTATAAAAGGGGGTGGAACAGGACAACGGGAGCCGCCAGTCATGAGAAAACCCCTGCTTGCCACCTGAAATGTCTGCTAGATCTAACAGACTGTACCAGGGGAAAGGATTGGGCCCAAACTAGGAAGGAGTCTAGTCTGTGAAAGCAGCTTATTGAAACATCTTTGAGGGTGAGATATTATCTGCAATCGGTGTTTTAAATTTACTAGACTTAGACTTGTTTATTTTTGCTTTATTTTGCTTGGTGCCTTACTTTGTTCTGTCCGGTATTACTTGAAGGGATAGCTCAGTGGTTTGAGCATTGGCCTGCTAAACCCAGGGTTGTGAGTTCAATCCTTGAGGGAGCTATTTAGGGATCTGGGGCAAAAATTGGGGATTGGTCCTGCTTTGAGCAGGGGGGTTGGACTAAATGATCTCCTGAGGTCCCTTGCAACCCTGATATTCTATGAAACCACTTAAATCCTACTTTTTAATACTTAAAGCACTTTTGTTTATTGATAAACCAAGAGTAAGTGATTAATACCTGGGAGAGCAAACAGCTGTGCATATCTCTCTAGTAGTGATATAGAGGACGGATAATTTACCCTGTATAGGCTTTATACAGAGTAAAATGGATTTATTTGGGGTTTGGATCCCATTGGGAACTGGGTGTCTGGGTGCTGAAGATAGGTGACCTGCTGAGCTGTTTTTAGTTCAAGTCTGCAGCTTTGGGGGCCCAGACCCTGGGTCTGTGTTGCAGCAGGCTGGCATGTCTGTGTTGCAGTAGGCAGGGTACTGAAGTCCCAGGCTGGCAGGGAAAAGGGGCTCAGAAGTAATTTCAGCACATCAGGTGACAGTCCCAAGGGGATCTTTGTGACCGAACGTGTCAAATATAATTAAAAAAAACAAAACAAAAAAACCAGCTGCCTTCATTCCCATCTAAGTCAGATCAGTTTTTTTAACCAGTCTTGCCCTTTTCCCCCGATTGGGGAAAAAACGGTTACTCGCCTTCTTTTAACTGTTGTTCTTCAAGATGTGGTGTTCATGTCCATTCCAATCAGTTGTGTGCATGTCGTGTGCACGACAGCCAGAAGATTTTTCCCCTAGCAGCATCTGTTGGGTCGGTCTAGGTGCCCCCTAGAGTTGCACCTTCATGGCACCCCACATAGGGCCCTGCCGACCCTCCACCCCCCACTTCCTTCTTACTGGCTACTCCGACAGAGGGGTAGGAAGGGGGATACTGGAATGGACGTGAACACCACATCTCGAAGAACAACAGTTACGAGAAGGTGAGTAACCGGTTTTTCTTCAAGGGTTTATTCATGTCAAATGCAATCAGGTGACTGACTCCCAAACCCAAAATTCAGGAGCTGGGGTCGTCCACCGATTGGAGCACTGCTCTTCCAAAGGGCACAGCGTCTCTGGCCTGCTGGGTGATTGCATAATGTGCAGTGAAAGTGTGTATGGAGGACCATGTCACTGCTCTGCAGATTTCCTGGGTGGGAACCTGTGCCAGGAACGCAGTTGAAGAGGCCTGAGCCCTGGTAGAGCGTGCAGTGATCAAAGGAGCAGGCACCCCGTCAAGTTGTAGCACTCCCGGCTGCAGGATGTGATCCATGACAAAATCCATTGAGAGGAGACAGGAAGACCTTTCATTCTGTCCACCACTGCCATGAATAACTGGATGGACTTTCGGAATGGCTTCACTCTCGCTATAGAAGGCTAGTGCCCTGCGGACCACCAATGAGTGAAGCTTCTGCTCCCTGACACTGGAATGAGGTTTAGGGTAAAATACAGGAAGGACGATGATGTCCTTGGTTGATGTGAAACTGGGAGACGACCTTCGGGAGGAGAGCAGGATGAGGCCTGAGCTAAACCTTGTCCTTATGGAACACAGCGTAAGGAGGCTCTGATGTTAGCGATAACCTCAGCTAGGAGGGCCCTATCAGAAACGCCACCTTGTATAAGAGATTGAGCCCTTGGTGACATGCTCCCTGCTCTAATGGCGGCCCCATAAGTCTGGATGGGACCTCAATTTGGTCCCAAGACAGGGCTGGCTGTCGGAACTGCAGATATAGCCTGTTGAGACCTTTAGGGAAACGGCTGACCAACAGGTAGGCAAAGACCGACTGTCCCTCTGCGCCTGGATGGAAGGTGGAGATGGCGGCCAAGTGAACTCTTATTGACGACGTAGACGGTCCCTGCTGCTTGAGGTGGAGAAGATAATCCAGTATAAAGTAGCATAAAGGCGAGTGTCGGGGACAAACGGTGCTGCACCAACCAGATTGAAAATCTTCCACTTGGCAAGGTAGGTGGCTCTCCTGGAGGGTTTCCTGCTGCCAAGGAGAACTTGTCTGCCTTGATCAGAGCAAGAAAGCTCCATCAGGTTCAGTCATGGAGCTTCCACGCTGTGAGGTGGAGTGACTCGAGGTTCAGATGTTGGAGACAGCCGTGATCCTGAGTTAGTAAGTCCGGGAAGAGCGGCAGGGTGACTGGGGTTTTCACGGACATTTCCAGGAGTGATGTGTACTAGTGCTGGCGGGTCCAAGCTGGAGCTGTCAATATAACTGAAGCTTCTTCCCTCCGAAACTTGAGGAGCACCTTGCGAATGAGAGGGATAGGCAGAAACGCACACAGGAGATGGTCTCTCCATGGGAGGAGGAACGCGTTCGCGATGGAGCCCAGGCTGTCACTTAGGAAGGAGCAGAATCGCTGACACTTCCTGTTGCGTTGTGTGGCGAACAGGTCCATCGGGGGAAAGCCCCACCGATGGAAGATTGAGGTCACGACGTCCGGGTGAAGGGACCACTCGTGGCCGTGGAACGCCCTGCTGAGATGCTCTGCCAGCTTGTTCAGCACTCCAGGGAGGTACGACGCTTGCAGGTGTATCGAGTGCTCTACACAGAAGTCCCACAGCACGAGGGCTTCCTGGCACAGGGGAGAGGAGCGTGCGCCCCCCTGTTCACGGATATAGAACATCGCCGGGGGGTTGTCTGTCCTGACTGATATACATCTCTCTGCTAGGCGGGTCAGAAAGTCTGGCATGCCAGGTGCGCCGCTCTCAGCTTGCTGACACTGATGTGTAGAGCAAGATCCGCCTGAGACCAGAGGCCTCGGGTTCTGAGGTCTCCCAAATGTGTCCCCCAGCCTAAGTCTGATACGTCTGTCACTAGTGAGAGGGACGGCTGAGGGCTGGTGAAGGGGACCCTGCACCTACGACCTGCGGGTCGAGCCACCACAGAAGGGAGTTGAGTACCGGGCGAGGCAGGGTTACAATCCTGTCCAAACTGTCCCAGACTTGCAGATACACTGACGCTAGCCATGACTGAAGGGGTCAAAGTCCGAGTCTGGCATACTGTATTACGTAGGTACATGCAGCTATGTGTCCTAGAAGTTTCAGGCAGTTCCGTGCTGTGGTGGTGGGGAATTGTCTGAGACCTTGAATAATGTAACCCAGGGCTAGAAATCTCGCTTCTGGAAGGAAAGCCCTGGCATGTGTCGAATCCAGTACCACCCCTACAAATCCTATCCTCTGAACCAGGGACAGCTTTAATTTCCCCTCATTCAGTAGCAGTCCCAGTTCATCAAAAGAAGCTCTTATGAAGGCAACTTACCTCTCTACCACCTGAGCCCTGGATCAGCCAGTCGTCAAGGTACGGAAACACCTGTACCTGCTGCCTGCACAGGAACGCGGCCACGACTGCCAGGCACTTGGTGAATACTCGAGGTGCCGTTGACAGGCCAGTCGGGAGGACTGTGAACTGATAGTGAGTGCTGTTCACCACAAACCTGAGGTATTTTCTGTGGGACAGTTATCATTATGTGAAAGTACGTGTCCTTCAAGTTGAGGGTGGCATACCAATGAAGGGATGATGGAGGCCGATGAGTTTGAGTTTCTTCACAAACTTGTTGTGTTCTCACAAGCCTAGGATGGGCCTGAGCCCACCCTTGGCTTTCGGTATTAGGAAATACTGGGAATAGAAGCCCTTACCCTTCTAGTCCTGAGGAACCTCTTCCAATGCCCCTACTCAGAGGCGTAAGTGTACCTCCTGTGTAAGGAGTTGCTCGTGAGAGGGGTCCCTGAAGAGGGAAGGGGGATGGAAGAGTGGGAGGGCACAGAATTGGACAGAGTATCCCCTTTCTACTGTGTGGCGCACTCAGTGGTCTGAAGTGATACGGGACCATGCACGGTAGAAAGGGGATAGTCGGGAAGAGAAAGTAAGGTGGGGTAGATCCAGTTCTTGATCTGGTACGCTGTCCTTGTGCGCACCTCCAAAAGGCCTGTTTCTGGCCCCCAGAAGGCTTGGTCTGGCCAGAGCCCTGGCCTAAGGATGGGTGTGGCCTCTTCCTGCCACTCTTATTCCTCCTCTGGGAGCCATCCTGTCAGTTTTGCTGATAAAATCACAGAGGAGGTTGCATCCTTAAATGCCTGAGTTGTGTGGTGGATGTGTATACCCAGGGACTTGAGGGTAGCCCTCGAGTCTTTTAAACGGTGCAGTCTTCTGTCTTTTCAGAAAACAATGCCTGATCTTCAAAGGGTAGGTCCTGGATGGTCTGTTGGACTTCATGAGGTAGTCCAGAGACCTGAAGCCAAGAGGACCTCCTCATGGCCACCCCCGTAGCCATGGTACGGGCAGCACCATCCACACCCTCAAGAGCCGCCTGCAAGGAGGGCCTAGAAATGAATTTGCCTTCCTCCACCAAGGCCTTAAATTTGGAACGGGAGTCTGGTGGCATCAGCTCGACAGACTTGGCCATCACTCCGCAGGGGTTAAAGGAGGATCTGCTTACAATGGCCTGTTATTGTGCAATCTGGAGCTGCAGACCACTGGTGGAGTAGACTTTCCTCCTGAATAAGTCAAGCTTTTTGGCCTCCTGGTTTTTAGGGGAGGGTCCCTGGAACCCCTGGCGCTCCCTTTGGTTCACAGCACTCACCACCAGGGAGTTGGGTGGAGGGTGAATGTACAAGTACTCATACCCCTTAGAGGGGACGAAATAGTGTTTTTCATTTCTCCTCGCTGTGGGAGGCAAGGAGGCTGGAGTCTGCCACAAAGCATTTGTGGTTTCATTTATAGTTTTAATAAGTGGCAGCATGATACGCAAGGGTCCAGAGGGGGCGAGGACGTCCACCATGGGATCCGCATCCCCGACCACCTCCTCTGTCTGGATCTCCACGTTCTGGGCCACCCTGCACAACAACCGTTGCAGGACCCTACTGCCCTCCAAGGCTGGGACCGTTGACATGCCCGCAACAGCCTCATCTGGGGAGGACGAGGACGAAAACACCGGCCCATGGCCCTGGTCACTGCCCTTGGCACCCAGGGGGTCGCAGTGCTCGTGGGGCTGGTGTGCCGATGGCGCTGGGATCGTCAGTGAGGAGCTCAAAGTGGCAGGCAGGAGTGCGGGATTTGTCGCCGGAGATAGACCCAGTGCCATTTGCTGCAAAGGGGGGACAGATGCCAGTGTGATTGATGCCAATCTGGATCTCGATGCCTGGCTTGGACCCTTGGCCTGACGATAGGCCCCGGGAGTTCGAAAGGGCCACTGAGTTGGTGGTTGCCATTGAGGTGGCCACGGCGCCGAAGGGGGCTGGCAGTGTCACCTAGATCTAGACCTCCTGCTGCTGGACCTGTCTGAGTGATAGGACTCTGCCTCAGATTCCAAAAAAGTAGACCACGGAGGAGCGATACTGGCTGGTGCCGAAGAGCGGTGCCAGGCCTCTGGGGACTGATGTGGTTCCCCCCCCAACACCCATGGGTGGTCGGAGCCGGCGAGTGGTGCGCCGGAGATGGGGACCAGCGTGACATCATCGCTGGCTTGCCCCTAGATGGAACAGGTGGCCTGGCTGACACCAGTGCCTTGTCCCTCCTTGGGGAAGGCGAAGCCATCAGGCGAATAAGGTCCCGTGCCGCCTCAAAAGTCTCTGGAGTGGAGGGCGGTTGAATGTCCCAGCCATGACATAGTGGGCCAGACTCGACTGGACCCCTTGTGGGGCAGGAGTCGATGAGCCCCTGGGAGGCGCTGGGCCCGAAGTAGGCCGAGGTCTCCCTGCCACTGTCTCCTTAGGCTTAGAAGGGGCATTGGGGATACAGATCAGCACCTGCCAAGAGTCTTCTGTTCAGCACCGTGTTGGTGTTGGGAGTCCTTAGTCTCCTTTCTAGGAGCCGGCGTGCTGAGCACAGGCTCTGCCGATCGCGGGCGGAGATCAGATTGCGGGCGGAGGGCTGCCTGCACGAGGTTAAGCCTCAGTCTCTGCTCGCAATCCTTAAGGGTCCTTGGCCAAAACCCTTTACAAACGCGGCACTTGTCCTTTCGGGGACTCTCGCCAAAGCACTTCAAACAAGAAGTGTGTGAGCCACTTTTTGGCATCAACTTTCTGCAGACTTCACATAGTTTGAACCCCAGCAACCGAGGCATGCCCCGGCAGTGGGGGAAACCTCTACAATGAAAACTTAGCTTACTACTACCTTAAGACAAAAACTACTGTGGTATTTTGTATATAGTTCACTGCTAAAGGCACTTGCAGAAACAAGAGCGAGGGACCTTCCAGCTAGCCGTCACCGGTGGTAAGAAGGAACTGAGAGGGTGGGGGTTCAGCAGGGCCCTATATTGGGCGCCATGAAGGCATGACTCCAGGGGGCGCCCAGGCCGACCCTACGGATGCTGCTAGGGGAAAAATCTTCCAGCTGTCGTGCATGCGGCATGCACACACCTGATTGGAATGGACATGAACAAGCACTTGAAAAAGAACGGAGACTTTTTGGGCATCTAGTAATATGTTCTTAAATGATTCCCAATGATCATTCACATGGGTCCAATAAAATTCTTCCAACCAGCTGATGTGGATCGTAAACAGCTTTGTAAAATTGGTTCTTTTAAAGCACCCAGAATATATATTACTGGTCTGTATTTTATTCTGCTTGCACATTATAAATATGATTAAGTGACGATCACTTGGACTTAAGAGACCCTTCCTTTTTAGTTCTGTGATCAGTACCTCTCTGTGTTAGGACAAAGAATAATAAAGAACTCCCTCGTATTGGCTACAACACTTTTTGTGACATACTTCCTGACACCCTGAGAAAGGTGCAGACCAGCCCTCCATGGCTAGGGAACCACAGCCAGGCCTAGTGGCCGGGGCAGCGAGCCAGCCGCCGAGGAGCAGGTTACCTGTTCCACTGGAAGAGGTCTGGACAAGGTCGGTGCTGCTGTCGCTGGATGGAGACGTTTGCTGTGGGGCCTGATGCACCTGGATGGCCTGCACAGGAACCTGCTGCGTCACAGTACCTCCTGGGAGGAGAGAGGAGAGCCCTTCACCGCCCGCTGCCACCCAAAGGCAACGCAGGGACCTGCCAGCCCCGCGTCACACCCCCGCCCCCCTGCGCCTGCAGGCCCAGGGCAGGAGGAAAGGGGAGCAGAGCATTTAGGCCCCACTCGGTGGCCCGGTGCATGTTCACACGGTAAAGGGAGGAGACCTGCACCCAGACGGGGTGTGGCAGAGGCTGCTCTCTGCATGCACCTGATGGCGCCTGCCCGCCTGCTGGAGGAAAGGCTGACCTCCTGACTGGATTTCTGCCCGCTCCCTGGCTGGGCTCAGCAGCCCTGGAGACTGATGTCAGCGACCCCCCAAGGCATTACAGCCTGCAGCCAGCCGTGCAGACGGGGCGTGTCAGGGCCTCTCCTTCACGGCCCTCCCCACTTGGCATGCAGCCCTTGCCTACCCCAGACAACAGAGAGGCCAAGGGGGAGCCTAGCCAGCAGCCGTGTGTTCTGCCCCCTGCCATGCCCACCCTGGCAGGATTTGGAAGACCCCCTCACAACTGGGACTCTACTCACTAGGCTACCTCAAAGGCTCCTGGTCCAGGCCCCCATGGCAGCAATCCCATCCCCTCCCTCAATCAGGAAACGAGCTGGGGTGGGGCTAGGAACCTCCTGCCACGGGCCACAGCCCGGGGTGTGCTGAGCTGGAGCCGAAACCCACCACCCAGAGACGTGCTAGCCGAACAACATGCAGGTGCCACATCTGATCTAAGCCAGGCGAGGGCCACAGGCGAGCCTCACGCAGCCAGCCTCCTCCAGGCTCTCTGCGCTCCAATGGGGGAAGCTCGCTGCAGCCCTGGACGTGAGGGGGACAGAGCTACGAAGCCGGCTCTCTCTGTAGCTCCTCCGGATGCTAAAGGAGATGCCCGATGCTCTTGGGAGCAGCCGTGTGACACAGCACAAGGCCTCCAGTCTAACCTGCAGGGCCCCAAAGGAGCCATGTGCGGTTTGTGCAAGATACACACAGAGCACAGCAGTCACCAGGCCGGCTCAGAGCAGCCCAGGGTCCCATCTCTGACACGAGCCAGGACCAGCTAGTCCAGAGAGAGGGCAGGACACCAAAAACGGGCAGGTATGGATGTTCTGAACCCTGCCAGTTAGCAACTGGCTTCTACCTGGAACCACGAGGACACACATGGCCCCTTGCACACACCAACCCTGGCAGGACGTTCCGCTTGCCAAGTCAAGACGCTGGGAAATGCCAGCTCTCCAGCCGCCTACGCAACCTGAACTCGGCCCTTGTGCGTCCTGGGAAGGGGTGAATCGATTCATGATTTCCTTGTGTCCTCATCATTCGATGTGTGGCCCCACACAGCACGTGCCGCAGTGCACTCGGCAGGGCTGGAGAGCGCGACTCTGCTTCGCTCCCATTCTTTTCACGCCGGGTTTTATGTGACTTCCAGTGTTTTTAAAAAGCAAACAAACAACAGGAACCTCGCTGAGCCCTGCCTGGGTCATCTCCAGGGGTAGAACCTTTGATCCACAGCACAGGCCTCCAGCACACGGAGTAACTGACGCTATCTTCTACGCCAGGGAGAGTCACGCTTTGCCAGCGGGGCTGACAGCAGAGGAGTGATGGGACTTAGGGATCCTGGGCTCGGTACCAGGCTCTGGAGGGACGTGTGCTCATGTGGGCACAGACCCTTCCTGTCCCTGCCCCACCATTTCTACGCATGTCCCCTTCTCCTCCTATCCTGCTCTATTCCCATCCTCCCCCAATTGCATGTGGGTCAATGCAATGCCATTGCTTCCTCTTCCCTCTCCGGACTTCCTGGGCACCAGCGGGGGGGCACTGAGAGCACAGGAGAGACCGGCTCTGCTCAGTCTGGTCCCCAGCAATTCCAGGGAAAGCCCGGCTCAGCCTGTGGCCTGGGGCTGGAGCATGTTCAGAGCAGACAGTGTTTGGAGATGGTTGTTGCTGAGCCTCTAACAAATCTGTCCGGAGCATGTGCAAAGGGGAATTTTCAGAGAACTACAATTCCACTGAATCTGGGCAAACGGCCACAGGGGCAGCAAAAGGCTCCTCTCCAGCCCCCGGACTACTCCCTTGTCCCTGTTTCAAAGCACAGAGGTGTTAGAACAGCTCCAAGGACAACGGTAAACACAGCCCAGGCCCGAGGACATCGCCCGGGCATTCCTGCGTCCCGCCCGGACACTGGAGCATGGCTTTTAGCTGGATGCCCCACCTTGACTCCTAATGGCGAATCCCCCCGTCTGGTGACAAGTAAACCCTATTGCCAGTTTGAACTCCTCAACTCCAGCGCCCAGCCGGGGAGCTCCTTCTGCCCCTGCCCGGTAGGCTCCGGAGCCTTCTGCTCTCGGCTGCTGATCTGGAACGAGACCAATCTCCATGCACGTCCAGTGGGCTCTGGGGACTCACTGCTCTGTAACCCTCAGTATATTCCTGCTCCACTTCGGACCCTGCCTCGTCTCTATTACCTGCTGGGGGGAGTTCAGGGACCCTCCACTGCCTCTAGCCTGACGCCCTATTAGCAGATCTCCTCCTGTAACACCCCTTTGGTGGGGCAGCTGCCTCTGTTCTTTTTAAAAGGGTTCAGTCACCCCAGTGAGACAATTGGCTTCCCCTCCACAGCTCCCAGCTCCCCAAAATCAACACAGCTCTGCCGCCAAGGCTGGAGAGAGGCACCTGGGTGGCCAGCAATCTGCCAAGACACCCTTCCTCCTGCACCAACTTCCACAGCTGCCAGGGCCCCGTCTCCACGGTCAAACTCAGCATGCACAGTCTGCCAGGCTGACGTCCCCCTCCAGCTAGGGGGCTGTGCCCAGCCCCCTGCCTGGGGAGGCCTTGCAGAGCGGTGTGAGCCCAGCTGGACGGATCAATTCAGCACGGACTGCAGCGTCCCTGCAGCCCGCGCCGCCCTTCTCTAGGATACTGCCCCCCTGCCAGCCAGCAGGCAAGCACTGCCCTCCAGAGCGCCCTAGGCTTAGCCTCTCCTGCCCTTCAGCCTGGCATGGGCCATGCCTCCCCCCTCCCACGAGAAAGCTGAGGAGAAGCGAGCGCTGACCTGTCAGAGACACAATCTGCCCTCCGGCTGTGGCAGGGAAGCGGAAGACTGTCTGCTGTGCCTGCTGCAGCTGTCCAGCTGTGCCTGCGACCGCCTGGCCCTGCTGGCTGGAGAGGGCCAGCGAGTGCGACTGTAACTGAGTGAGAGGAATGGTAGGGGTCCCAGGAGGGAGCGAAGCACCTGCCGAAAGGAGGGGGAAAGAAAGGCTTCATCACGATCAGCTCTTTTCACCTCCTCCAGCCCCAGAGCTTGTGCTGAGCTTCCTCCCAGGGGCAGGCCTAGACACAGCCGCACGGACCCAGCTTGGATCCCTGCACTCCCCACCACAGGCATGGAGGCAGCAAGAGCCCATCCCCGCTCGCCCCTGGGGCAAGGGCCTGGCAGCAGGGATAGCGGGCAGAGAGCAGGCCCAGCCAGCATCGCTGTGGGCAAGGCAGCCCTGTTCACTTCACCCACAACCCATTGGCCTGGTGCCAGTCCCCGAGAGCCCCCCCACCCCTGGCGTGCACTCACCTGGCATGAGAGTGAAGCCGCCGGGGAGCTGCATGAGCCCTCCGGAGGCCACGGCGCTGGTGCCCGTGGTTTTGAGCACTGTCCCATTGGCGCTGGTGACGGTGTTGGGGCTGACGCTGGCAGAGACTGGCGCTAGGTAGTTGGTGATCGGGAAGGAGGGGCCACTGCTGACCTGCATGGACGTGGAGGTGGTGGGCACGGTCTGGATGGTCGACGTCGTCCCCGGCAAATTGGTAACTGTGAACGCAGGCTTCAGCGAGTCCTACAAGAGAGGGGCAGGTGAGGGAGAGCCAAACCGGGTCCTGGGCCCCATCCGTGCCCCACCCCCAATCAGACCTCAGGGCTCTGCTAAACCCCCAAACCAAACCAGGTCTTGAGCCCCATCCACACCCCACCTCCAACCAGATGTCGAGGATCGGCCAAACCCCTGGGTGAGGGGCTACACAGGCTAGCAAGTAAAGGGAGCTGCTGGGAGCTAGGGGCAGGCCCATGTGAGAACTGGGGATTGGACCAAACTCCCTGAAACACACTGACCAAAAATCCACACTATGCTGCCACACCCCGCTGCTCTGGGTATACCCCCGGGGCTCCGGGCACACCCCGCCTCAGCACGCACAGGGTTCTCCCCCCACACCCAGCTTTGTTCTATGGCTGGGTACTTAGCGGCCATATCAATCAACAACCAAACCACACTCAAAGGAAACACCAACTATCCTGCTCTTGTTCCAGAGATGCGTGACCACTCAGTACAAGGGACGGACCGGGGGCCAGCCCCTGGCAGGAGGCAAAGGAATCACTGCTACACAGGAACCTTGAGATCAGCTGCACCAAAGATGGGGACAGAAATTAGCCAGACCTCACAGGGGCCCACGCTGGGCAGAAAGAGATCCTGTCTGTCTGCCTTGGCCCCAGCATGGGTCACAGCTTGCTCCGGAACAAACCACCCTGTGCACAGGTCGGGAGGAGCAGCGAGCCACACGCCAGTGGGGGCCCCAGCCCTCAGGGCGCCAGCTTCCCCGGGCTGACAGCGCCACCCAGCTGCCAAGGATTACAGAGCTTGTGTTTGGAGGACAGCACAGCGAGGGCAGCCTGGCGGACCCAGAGCTCCCACGTGCTGCGGCCAGCCTGTTATGCTGCCAAAAAGCAGGAATTCACAGCCTGCCTAACGGCTAAAAAAGGGAAGGCAGCCCATTTTGGACAGGCCCAGCCAATCCAGAGCGCCCTGCCTGTCTCCCCCAGGGGAGGGGAGGGCTGGGTGGCAGATCCCCACTTGCCAGGGCACTGAGATTCCCTGCAGTCGGAATTAGAACGAGCATGTGATAACAGAGCGGAGCCAGGCAAATTCACTTTCCATTATCTCAGCGGCAGTCTCCTGTCCCCACGTGTAGGGGCTGGGAGTGGGGGCACGCGACACTCACGGAAAGTCACTGGCCCCAGCCCCTCACTGGGAGGGCAAGAGAGAGTGACCCCAGCCACCCAGCCCACCCTGCTGCTGCTGATACTCCCAGGGGATCAGCCAGTGATTCAATAGCAGCTGGCTGGGCGGGCTGTCCCCACTGCCTGACGCTGACAGCAGTGCACCCTGGGTATCGCACCCCCCCAGGTGCTCGCTGTCAGCAACGCCCACAACTCACGCCACCTGGTAGGCTGCCCCTCCACCCGTTCCCATGGCACATCTCAGCCCCCCCTGGGCTCGGTCCCCACTCTGCTCTGTCAGGGCAGTGAGAGGGAGCCAGCCCCAAAACTCCCCCACCGTCTTCTGGGGATCCCCTACCCGTCTGTCTCCTGGGATGCGGCAGAGGCAGGGCACACTGCACCCCAAGCCGTGGGGATGTACGTCACCGCTCTGCAGCGCCCAAGGTTGGGCGGGGAAGAAGAGGAAAGAGGTGTGTTTTCTCTCCGAAACTAAACTTCAAAACAAACGGACCAAAAAACCCAAAAACAAAACAAAAAACCCAGCCCACCAGCCCCTCCCTTGTTTCAAAACACTGAGAGTTGCCAAGTTTCATTTGAATAGTTGGACGGCCCTGGAGACTTGTGTCCTGGTTATCCTCCCCATGGAGCCCCTGGACATGGTCCTGCCAGCAGGCCAGAGCCCAGGGCTCCTCAGCACAGCCCCGCGGCCGTGACAGCCCCCAGAGCAGCTCGGCACATGGCATCTGGACTCCAGAGTGGGAGCAGCAGCCGCACCTATGGGCGAGGACCAGGGTGGGGAGCAGAGTTTGTCCATACTGCCCCACACTCCTAGGGCAGGAGTGGATGGGGCGGGGGATGGGGGGGTGCTAGGCACTGGGGATACGGTGGGTTTCACTCAGGCCCAGGCCCGGCAGTGTGGACATGAGGAGCCCTAGGTCCAAGCACAGGCCAGAAAATCCTTCACCGGGGTTCAAATGCAGGGCAGATGCTCAAGCCCAGGGCTCCCTGACATGGGTCAGCTGACTCGAGTCCTCGTAACCTAGACTTATGGTACTGTATAGACATTACGCGTGCACACAGAGCTGCGAGTGCCCCCCCCCCCCCAAGCACGCCCCCAGAGGTGCCAGCACTGATTCCCTTACACACACACACACACACCCCCAGAGGGCAAAGTGAGAGAACTCAACGTTTATTATTTGGAGTCTCAAGCGGGAGGGGCTGGCCTCAGGATTTTGACCCATTGGGGCTGGCAAGCCCAGGTGTCCCCCTGCCCAGCCTGGCAGCTCCCTGGGGCAGGGCTGTCCCGGCTGGCCTGGGCAGCCTCATTCCCACAATCCCCTGCTGCCCACTGCAGGTGCTGCGAGGGGAATCCGGGCCAAGGCAGCCCCCACCCCCAAAAGCCAGCTCTGCAGGGACCCCAGCTGGGCACAGGTCAGTGGTTCCCAGCCCTCTTGGGCAGGGGAATCCAGGGGCCAAGCAAATTTATTTCCAAAGAGAGGTTGGGGGCCATACAAGGCTCTGGGGGCAGGTTCCCTGCTTTGCTAAGAGCCTGCCACTGCAGCTAGCATTCCAGCCCCGTGCACACAGATCAACTTCCGGTGCGAACTCCAAACCCTTCCCTTCACAACCCGTGCGCCTCCCGCCACCTTCTGCAGGGAGCGTCCCTGGCTCCTCCACCCCCGCTGCAGTCCCCGGCGCACACAGCTGGCATGTGCTGCACGCCACCTACCCCAGCAGATGCACAGCCCCTGGGGGCCCACAGCAGAACAGCTCAAGTTAGAGCAGCCCCCATGCCCTAGGCTCACTCTCCACCCTGGCGGGGCGCCTTGGCCCACTGGCAGCATGCTGCACGTCACCAACCCACGCGGCAGGGGAACCAGGCAACAGCTGGGGCTGTTTGGAGCAACCAGGGATGAATGAGCAATGGGCCAGGCCCCATGTTATTCTGAGGGGGGCAGAGCTCTGCACAATCACCCTGAGGTCCCTGCCGCACTGGAGAATCATGGAATCCAAGGCCAGAAGGAAGCAGCAACTCCTCGTGCCAGCCTGACCTGCCTAGAACCCGGCACGTGCCCCTGGCAGAGAACAGGAGGGACCCAGGTGCGCCAGGGCCCCTGCCCGCTGAAATGGAGGGGAGACATCTAAGTGAGCTCTACCCAGGTCATTCTGGCAAGTGAGCAGCCCCCCACGCTACAGAGGAAGGGGCCAGCTTGTCCTTGTGTCTCCGGGAAGGCTCCCACAGCCGTGTGCCGGGCACGGCCCGCCTACCAGCAGGGCGCTCTGGAAGTGTCCCGGAGAAGGGGTGCCGGAGATCCAAGATCTGACGTCCCCACACGGCAGGTGAGAGATGTGAGTCCCGGGTCAGTTGCAAAGCAAGGGAGGGGCCACCCCAAACCAACGCCACTTCCGGGATGTCCAGCCTCTCCCCCACACCTGCTGCCCAGCCACATTCCAGCCCCTCGGCCACTGCAGCTGTTCCCTTTGTCAGCACACAAGTGGCGCCTGGCCGGCCAGAGCAGGAGGAAGGGGGCCAGGCCTGTCCTGGCCCCACTCACCACCACAGGGAGCCAACCTCCCCCCAGAGCAGCAGAGAACCACGAAACCATCAGCTCCCTCCCCTGGGGCTCACCCAGAGGCCTCTTCTCTGCCCCCTTGCTCTCCACAGCCAGCTTACAGCTCTCCCAGGCCAGGCCCATCCCTCAGGGGAGCCCCGCCAGCTGCTGACACAGAGCCTGGAGCAATGGCTAGCGAGCCTCCCAGGCACCCCCGCACGGGGAGCACTGGGGGAGCTCCCAGCTGGAGTGTGCCTGCCCTGGTCTGCAGCAGGGTCCCCGGGGGGCAACATGCACTCAGGTCAGGGACAGTGGGGCAGCTGGGCGAGGAGGGTCACATCCCACACCCATTTGCAGTAGGCTCAGCACCCCCCACCCCCGTGCCCCCTTTCCCAGGGCAGGGTGAAGGAGAGCCCTAGCTAGCAGGGAATTACCAGGCCTCACAACCATTACCTTATTTCCCCTCCTAACCCCGTGGGGCAGGAGAGGGCTGTCATGCCCACTGAGCAGGTGGGGCCAGAGGCCCAGAGAAGTTATGGGGTACTGGCAGCCTGGCCTGGACAGACATGAGAAGGCTGGCTTGCCCCTGCCAGACCCAGGAGGGATCAGGCCAGCGGCACAGGGCAGAGCGCTCAGCTCCCACCTGCTCTAAGGGAACCCGCAGGCTGACCCAGCCCCCAGCGCTCGCAGGAGGCTGGCTGGGATGGGGGGCTGCCTCCCTGCCCCTGGCTGCAGCTGCCCGCTCTGTCAGGGGGTGACAAGAGCAGGGAGGCTCACGCCACCTCCCACTCCCAGCTGCCTACCGTCCCTGGCGGTGCAGCTGTACTGTCCCCTAGGCCAGTGTCCTTCCCTTGGGCCGGCAGTGACCAGGAGCCTTCTGCCCACACATACCCCAGCGCAGCCCTCGCTGGCGGGCGCCAGGCTGCAGGAGAGGAAGGGGGGCCCTGTGGCAAGCTGAGCCAAGCCCAGAGGGACAGAGCTATGGGGGGAGGAGAAGGGCCAAGGCAGAGCTCAGTGCTACTGTCTGCCCCAGGTGACCGCGCAGTGGGGTGTGCCGGCATCAGGCGTGGCTGAATCAAGCCAAATCTCCTGCCACTGAGCTGCACCAGGACCTGCGCACAGACAGCCCTCTGCCAAGGGTGGGAGGCACCTGCGGGGGCCTGCGTAGCTCAAGGCACCAAGCTGGTCTCTGGCCACATCAGTGAGGAGCAGGCCCCTGCAGGTGCCTCCCACCCTTGGCAGAGGGTGGTCTGTGTGAGGTCAGACCTCAGCAGCTTCACCATGCAGGCCCTGC